TGGTGAGGGGGACGGAGCCGCGGGCTTGGCGAGGGGGAAGCCTGGAGGGGCTGGCGGCTGGATTTGGGCAGGAGGTGGGGAGGGTGGAGGAGGCTGGAGAGCCCCATCTGATGCTGAGCTCTCTGGTGGGTGGTGAAAACTCCAAACAAGCCAGCAACCAGAGGGGACCAGTCCCAAACTGGCTCCAGAAAAGCTGGATTGAGCAAGCTACCTCTGTCAGGAGGTGCCTCAGTTTCCCCAGCAGGGGGATAAGGAACGTAACACTGAGCTTAAATCGGAGAAGCAGCTCTGAGACGTCCTTGGTGACTTGGTGAGGCCATTCCTGTGCCAAAATTGCACGTGAGGTGGGGGGGGGGACGGACACATGGCTGCTAGTGCAGGGCAGGACAGGGGAACCCCTGTCCCCCTCGCGCACTAGTGCTCGGTCCCTGAGGTGCCCTGTCCTTTCCCCCCCCAGGCCTTGGGGGGCGGGTACCTCCACTGGGGCCACTTCGAGATGATCCGCCTGACCATCGGCCGCAGCATGGACCCCAAGACCATGTTTGCCATCTGGCGCGTGCCGGCCCCCTCCAAGCCGGTGACGCGGAAGAGCCTGGGACACCGCATGGGGGGCGGCAAGGGCCCCATCGACCACTACGTGACTGCGGTGAAGAGCGGGCGCCTGGTGGTGGAGGTAGGCGGGCGCTGCGAGTTTGAGGAGGTGAAGCCCTTCCTCCTAGGGGGGCGGCAAGGGCCCCATCGACCACTACGTGACTGCGGTGAAGAGCGGGCGCCTGGTGGTGGAGGTAGGCGGGCGCTGCGAGTTTGAGGAGGTGAAGCCCTTCCCCACGCAGGTGGCCAGGAAACAACAGGGTGGGGATGCGCAAATACCCCAGCCCCTACGCCCTGCAGCTGAAGGGACGCTACTGGGGCAAATTCTTCCTGAAACATAGGGTGTAACGAGCAGCTGGGGAGGGGGCCGCCTTAATTAAACCTTCCCACAAGAACCCGCGTTGGCCACTGTGGTTTTTGGAGGCGCAAACGCGGGGCCAGGAGCATCCCCCTCCCAACAGCACAGCATCCCGGAGGAGAGCGTGGGTGATCTCTTTATTCAGGAGGAAGGCTCCGGCACGGGTGGCTGCACATCCAAAGAGCCAGCGAGACAGAGAAGTCGCCGCAGATGAGCTCCGAGCGAGGGGAGAGGCTCCTCCCTCCCCCCCCAGCCAGGCA